TGGATCAGAAGTATGTTGACTGCCCGAGCTGGTCCAGCAGGTCTTCTATTCTTGGTAGTGGATAGCTGTCTGGCTTCGTAACAGAGTTGAGTCCCCGGTAATCAACGCAGAAGCGGTGGCTCCCATCGCGCTTTTTCACGAGAACAACTGGGCTGGCCCATGGTGATCTTGAGGGTTGTATCACTCCCTGTTTCTGCATCTGGTCTAACTGTCTGGAAACTTCCTTGCGCAAAGTAAAAGGTATTCGTCGAGTTGGCTGCTTCCTAGGAGAGGCGTCGCCGGTGTTTATCTCCATCTGGACTAGGTCTGTCTCACCTCTCTCACCGTCTTCCAAACTGAAGACGTGGTGGTACCCAGTTAGGAATTCCAGCAGCGTCCGCTTCTCCTGTAGAGGGAGGTCAGCCCCAAGAGTTTCTCTCTGCGTTTTCTCTCAGTGTCGTGTGCCTCCCTTCTGCGTGGATGGTTACCGTGAAGGTTCGTGCAGGGTTATCCTCAGTTGCCTCAATGACCGTAGCTGGGACGGCGCCACCAAGGTACTCTCCGGCCTCTAGGTGACGTGTAAATCCAGTTTAGTTTGATAGTAGGATCAGGCAGGCTTTGTCTCCTACAGGATCGATCACGACATCCTCAGCACTGATCCCAAGAGACTCTTCCACATCCTGTCGGTACTAGAGTCTATAGGGGCCCAGGTTGAGAGTAGTCAGCTTCAGGGGAAACTTGGGCCTGTACGGACTGATAGGGAGGTACCCGTACGGACGTAACCAACCTGACACGAACCATTGGCACGACTGCATCGTCTCTATTTTCTTTAGGGGTCTGAGTTGCACAGGAGACGGTCGTCGGAAAGGTAGAGATCTCACCAGTCTTGTCTCGGTCTGGGCTTGACACTAGGCATTGGTCGTACCTTGTTCTCCTTTCGAGTCTTCTTACTGGATACCAAAGGGTGATATGTGATTATTTTGAGCTGGCGCCACACGCCCTCCCCCAGCAACAGCTTATCTGCTGCCTCGACCTTGATGTAGATTGGTGTGCGCATCGTGATACCGTTGAAACTAATGTCAAGGTCTACACGTCCATCGAGTGAGAACACACGTCGATCATAGGTCTTCGGAATTCTGTCAGGGGGTTCAGCTGGCTCTTCTTGAGATGTGCGACAGCGGCTATTCGAGCGAACAGTTTCCTGTTCATGATCGTGATTTCAGCGCCACTGTCAAGAACTCCAGTTGCCGGAACGCCTTCTATGAGTACTTCCGCATACTGCTGTTCGCTACCTTTATCGTCAATTCTCACCTGTCGCACTCCTTCCCCTTCGGTTTCAGAGTCAGAGGAAGAGAGGAGATGTGACAATAGTCCAGGAGCAGCTGAAGGTGACTGTGAACCGGATGCTATAGTTGACACCAGCCTAGTCCCAGCAGGCCTCTGTCCCTGAGGCACATCATTCTCGTTACGTCGTGTGGGACAGTCACGAGAGAGATGACCTGGCTGATTGTAGGTGTAGCATCTCCTCTGGGTCGTGCTCCGGGCTTCATCTTGCTGTTGTACTTGGTGGCTAGGTGTTTCTGACTGAGGCTTAGTCCCTTGGGGAGATTGGTCACGCTGATTCCTCGCAGAGGTCGACGCTCTTGACGGCTTCGAATACTGTCGCCTCTTGGCCAGCTCGGCCAGGCGTTTCTCTTCATTCCTCGATGCGAGGCACAGCTCTTTGTAACCATGAGACCCCGAGACTGCCGGAGCCTTCATGATGTCGTAGCGGAGACCCTCTTGTAGCTGGCCGTGAAGTAGGGTCCCACGGGTTTTGTCACTCATGCCGTCACGTCCGTACGCAAGCTTAAAAAGCTGCTCAAGTCGTCAAATGAAATCTGCGACAGATTCTCCCTCCTGCTGCGAGGCATGGCGAAAATCTTGGGCGGCCAGTGCTCGGCTGCTAGGGTCTAGACGGCTACGCATTATAGCGGTTACCTCCTCCAGAGACTTCTTTTCACGGACAGTCAGGAGTCCCCACTCCTGCAAGGCTCGACCACGCAGGTGGCCTGCTAGCTGGATCAGGGTTTTGTGTTCACTCCAGTCATTCCACTCAGCAGCACGGAGCAACCCAGGCATCCAGTCTTCAAACAAAATGTCTGACTCCCCATCGAATGGGTTGACGGGTGGTGCTCTACCCCTACGTGAGATCCTCTCGCCACTTGCACCATAGCTGGGTGACGCAGAAGTTGAAGGCGATCGCTCCGTTGTCTCGCATGCTTTATCAGCAGGGTGTGTCCCCTCTTCAAGCACCGTACCTCGTGCGACGTTCGCGTGGCGATCCTGCTTGGACCACCACCATCATGGGCATGGGAGGAACGTGCCTCCCTTCTACTCACTCTAGGTGGGGTGTGACTGGGGCCGCGACCAGGGTCCGGCACTGGCACTACTGCTTCCCCAGGCTCACCCCCACTGGCATGAGAAACTAAGGTAGTATCTCTAACACTCTCTCATGCTTGGATAGGACCACACTCCGCATTAGCTTTTCCCTCAATATGTGGTTCTCCTCGTCCTTCTTAGCTAAGGCTTCATCGTATTCCGCTAGTTGGGCGCAGTTCAACCCCCACTGCGTACGTGTACTTCTTCTTTTCTCATCTCTCACTGTTCACGCCCTCACAATCGACTAAGCCTCAACTGCGAGTTGATCCTCCAGGCGCTGGCGAGTCTCTTGTACCTGCTCCAGCTCTGCTTCAAGTTTGCGTGCTCCATCCCTGACTAACTCCTGCTCCTCCTCCGTGTCAGCCACACGCGCGATCAGCTCCTGCTCTCACGAGGGAAATGCGGCCGGCTCGTCCTCGCGCGCGCCGCCGCCCTCTTCTCTCTCCACAGGTTCCCTGCCTTCGCCCTCGTGCTCACCAGTACCGTCGTCAGCGTTCTCGTCGGATGGAGTGTTCTCTGCCGGGACCTCGGTGATAACTCCATCCGCGCTGCGTAGCTTGATGGCGGAAGGCTCCAGGCGCTTGAACATTTCTGGGCTCGTGCTCTTCTCCCAGCCGCCCCTCGATCAGCTGCATATAGTCTCAGCTGGAGATGCGTTAGTCGGTAGTCCTAGTGCTTTAGCGATCCGACTGATGGTCTCGGCTTTTAGGCGTCTAGAATTCAGGGGGTAAGTCTTTGTCACGTGGCCAGCTGCCACCTCCGCTCCCCTCGGCGTTGACATCGCTCTCGCTCCCCCTTGACCAAAAAAAGACTCCGTTCTCTAAGCTTTCGAAACCTGGGCACTATTTCAGTATCTCCTCGTCGATGGGCCCAGGTCTCGGTGGGACCTCCACTGTAGAATTCTTACGCCCGCTCGATACCACAAATCCTCTTACGCATCCTCAGTATATACAACTCTAAGAATAAATGAGTGAAGTGTTAATGCGCATGCTCAGGATCAGTTACTACATATAGTGTGAAATGAAAGAGTCAAAGATGAATAGGCAGGTAGTCCGAGTTTATTACACTTTCGTGACCAGGTTTTTGTAAAAAATAATTGTTTCATCATATGTACACCAGCTTGTTCTTTAGTCTGGTATGTCACACTTATGCCTTCATATTTGTAGTTCGGGTCGTTGAGGTCCAAGATTTGAAGGCATCCGAACTCATAAGTAAATCCTCGGTAAACAATGAACTGGTTCCATTCATATTGCTTCTTCTTAGAAAACTGAGACGATCTACCTAAACGAATTGTATAGCCATTGTCATCGTCATCTTTATAGCAATTTTCTTCACTGCCAAATAAACGCCAACAATAGCTTTCACTCGTACAGTGAACAGATCGACTTTTGCATGTTCCATCGACTGCACAGTAAAAATTATCCTCTCAACATAATTGGGATGCACGATTGGTACCACTGCCGAAGCATGATCCAGACGAAAAAAGTAAGTTCCGTATGAAGGGTGAGTATGGGATGTAGTGTTTCCTATAATGTTACACTGTGTATTATACCTAGCTGATAGTAGAGTGAGAGAAGGGGAAACTAGATCATGATTGTGGGATCAGACACATACATATACAAAACACAGACATATTCTCGCACGCATATACGTACACTCACTGAAGATTTACACACTGTTTTAGTGATACGTTGCACTAATGTACACTCACTGACAGGTTTAGGTATATACTTTAGTGCCTTTTGTCACTAACCCAGAGCATAAAAATTTAGAAGTATATACTTGACAGCTGTGTTGTGCATACCAATCTCAGTGCAGTCAGAGCTCTTGGCTACACCACTGCCACCATGGTTGATCATACCTTGGGGGTGGCCTGGTGGACATCAGCACCTGCCTCTAGCAGAATGAGCACTACATCAGAGTATCCCTCCTGACTGGCAACAAAGAGTGGACTGAAACCTTCATGTACAGTGAGAGAGTAGGATGTTGGGTTTACTTCCAGTCTGGAACATGTAACTACGTACCAACATATAGTTTGCTGGCATGCATGGCTATTTGTTAGCCATTGCCTAGAAATCAATGCACTAATTTCAGACAACTGGAGGGTGTGGAAAGTAAGAGCATGATAAAAGGGGATCACCAGTTAGCAAAGTTGTTACATTCCCTTGACTGGGGTGCATTATTCAGCTCTGAAGCTTGTGCAGATATAATGTTACATCCAAGGCCGCCTTGAATGAAACTTCCAAAATTTTTATGGCTAGCCTCAGCATCACTACTCCATTGACAACCCGACAGTGCTGAGTACACAATCTGCATGAGGCTAGTAGTAAATTATTATGGCTCTGGTCTCAGCTATTACACAATAATCCTACAATTACTCACCAACTTTTTTGGATTATTTATTTTTACACTGTATCAGAGCGTCGGTACACGCTCTATATAGGGATGACACGAGTGAAATCTCACGTGATCCTTCTTCTTCTTCTTCTTTGTAACCTCCACTGAAGGAGAGTAGCCTATGGGGTAGGCAATTATATGAGGGCGAGTAGTTGACGGTGATGCTCGGAGTGTAGACGATATAGAAACACAACGATCTCTCTCTGAAGTGGCGGATCCTCGATCCAGCGAATTCCCAGGATGTGTTCCGCAAAACCGTTCGGGTCTGAGTCTAATAACGGCGCTAGGTCGGAGGCCGCCAGCAGAGGCGGGAGAATACGGGCAGAGGAGAGGGCGGGGCAGTGAGATATAAAGTGAGTAGTGTCTTCTGGTCCGGATCCGCATAGCTTGCATGTTGGGTCTGAGACGTTGTTCCGGAATCTGCATGTATCTGTCCCGAGACCATGGCAGTTCACTAGCAATCGGATTCGCGTTATGTTCAGTTTCGTGGTCAGTTTCGTGGCACGTGGGAACCCGCGACAGACCAAGAGGTGGGGGATGATCCTGCCCAGCTTCAGCTCAGCACATTCAGAGAGAGGGAGGTAACTGCAGTCAGAGGTGAAGTCTGCATACTGCTCAGCCAGCAGCAGACGTCTGACAGTCCTCTTCCACCCACCTTGGCTCCAATGGCCAGCAAGTATGATGTTGGTCGGGGGGAATCCATACTGAGCCAGGGTGTTCTGCAGTGTGGGGATCAACCCAGTTGGTGGTGGGTTCTCCAGACATATGCGCAGTAGCTGGACAGGGAGTGAGTCGGAGGGTAACCGTGAGAAGGAGAATAGGAAGTTCATCTGTCTTTGGTGCTCCACGTACAAAACGTCTCAAAACTCAGCGACAATGACTCACCATGGCTTCAAAATCACTAGCAACAGTCTAGAGGCCAATACCTAGCTATACATATGCCCCAAGACTTCCTACGTGCCCTCAGTTCCCCACGAGAGAATTCGCACTTACGCGATTTCGCGATTTTCGTGTCATCATAATCATCATATTCTTCTTCTTCTTCTTCTTCTTCAGACCCGCTAGCTGCTTACCGGATGCAGTTGAAGCGTTGATTTTTTCACAGAACGTCTCCAAATTTGCCGGAGGTGTGCACGCATATCAAGCGATCGCTTGTTTCTTGCCGCAAGTCACTACGGTATATCGTTGAGCTTGTGGCGACCTCTGACCTATACACGTGTACGGCCCTGACCTATGTACACGTGCATGGAACATTCGACAACTTACGTAGAACATAATTATATAAGGTGCTTTGTATGTGTATTGAATCAGTCTGATGCTATTTGGAGTCGCTACATTTTGGTGACCACGGCGTGATCCGAACACGCCACGATGGCCCTCGACGACAGAGCTAGAGGCGCAGGAGCTGTCACAGCTGCAGTTCAACTGAAGCTCCCGCCCTTCTGGCCTGCTGACCCAGACGTCTGGTTTGCCCAGATTGAGGCGCAGTTCAGCACGCGCGGCATAACTGCGCAGAGGACGAAATACGACTACGTGGTCGCTTCACTATCACCCGAGTTCGCCACCGAAGTTCGCGACATCATCCTTCGCGTGCCCGACAACCCGTACGACACCCTGAAACAGCAACTTGTCGCCGAGCGGTTCGTTTGGCCAGGAATGA